ATGGAGGGTTCAACATCGATACAAATATGTATTTGAAACATGATGTTAGAACGATAGCTTACTTGGGGTCCATTCCAAAGGTGGACAAGTTTGCTGTTTCGCAGATTGATTTCAACAAGGTTGTCCATTCGGAAGTTAATAGGCAATCTTGTTGATGGGTAGAAATCCCAATGTAGTAACTTAAGTTTATTGGAAAGGCCATAACCATTTAGCTTCAGGTTGGAATATGTGTCACCCAAGAACATGAGAAATTTGAGATTATACATAGGGGTAATATCATTACGAGTACTCCTCGTAGGTAATCTATTAGTCATCTCACACATTTGCAGTGCCAAGCCTTCAAGTTTAGCCGAACCCTATTGATGGAAATGTCAACAATCAGTGTGCACCAAGAGAATATATCAATGGTTAAGAGTTTTTGCTAGGACTTACTATGTTATGCTCGAGTATACTGCAAATCTCTTTAGTATCCCATAAAAACCTTTGTTCGAAAGGCCTCCCTCCTGATTCTTGGCACACAATCTCTCTTCCAGTTTGTACTACTAAGAAATGCATATTCACAGATCCATCCCTTGTTATATCGACGAGAGACTTTGCCGCTAAGCGATTTAGCCTTGAATCACCGTTATCGAAAAATGTTGTGATATGGTGGAGATAGCCTCTGTTGAAGAGGCATGCCACATGAAGGAAGACAATCTTATCTCGTTGGTCTAAACCATTATAGCTTGTCATCAAAATCTTCTGGACATCTTCATGAGGGGATTTTTCAAGTGTATCTAATTCTTGTTTCCACTCCAGAATAGTTGTCTTTTGACTGAGATGTTCACCAAACGCTACGAGAGCAGAAGGAAGGCCGTGAGCAAGCTGAGAAGCTCGAACTGATAGATGTTCAAAACCGTCACAGTGAGGTATCCCTCCTCTAAAAGCAGACTGTTTGAATATCTGAAGCGCATACTTATCGTCCAAGCACTTCACTTCATGTACATTGTTTACTCGACAAGCATTGAGTAGACCCCTGTCTCGTGTCGTTATGATGATTCGGCTACCTGGACCAAACCAGCTTGCCTCTTTTGCCAGTGCATCTATCTGCTCCAGTTTATCCACACCATCAAGCACAAGAAACACCTTTGTGTGCCCGAGTCTTGACTTTATATCATTGTATCCAGCTTCTGCGCTCCAAAGCTTGATATCCGGATCGCGGGTGATATCCGAAAGCAATTTCATTTGTAAATGTTTTGCACCACCACCATGTTCATTATTATAATTCTCCCAAACGTTCATGAAACAAGCTTGATATTGATGTTCAAACCGAGCATAAAGACACTTGGCAATGGTGGTTTTGCCAATGCCACCCATGCCCCAGATTCCTATCATTCGAACCTCATCTTCTGATTCCATACTCAATAGAGGGTCCAATCGGTCCATGTGAACGTCCATTCCAACAAAATTCATCATTTCTGTAGGCTTGATGATTCGCAATCGAGTTGAGATACTTCCAACTACTTTGGCTATCATCGCTGCCTCATCCATGCTACCATGGAAAACAATAACCCAAATTAATTAAATTTTCAATTGAGAGACTATTCGATCTCATTTTGTTACTTTTCTTTTATTTTTACTGCATTTTATATGATTTTTACAACTACAAAAATTATGTGAAAACACATGCATGACTCATACAAATATTTAGCTAATATGACTTTATAAGCTAATATATGTATTATACTCTCGATCGGTATATAATGAATTTCAAAATTTATTAATTTACATGACTTATAATCTAATGTTTTGTATTAGTCTCATATTTTGTATCATAACTCTAGCGTAGGAGTTATTGATTGAAAAACCTGGAATACTGGATATATGTCAATAATAAGAGCGAAAAAGTGATAAATTTTATGTCACATTTAATACCAAAATTAGTAAAATAGGTCACTTT